TCATGCTTGGTAAAGTAGAGGGTCAGTGAAAAAGAGGAAGACCCTCAATGAGATGGATTGACACAGTGGCAGCAACAATGGGGTCAAGCATAACAACGATTGTGAGGATGGTGCAGGGCCAGGCAGTGTTTCATTCTGTTGTACACGGGGTCACTATGCGTCAGAGCTGACTCGCTGGCACCTAACAACAACCCATAAAAAAACCCATTGCTGTTGAGTAAATTCTGACTCATAGCGACCATATAGGACAGGGTAGAACTGCCCCGTAGGGTTTCCGAGGAGTAACTGGTGGATTCAAACTGTTGACCTTTTGGTTAGCAGCTGAGCTCTTAACCACTGTACCACGGGGACTCCAAACAAACTACAGCCACATACAACAATATGTTTGAATATTAAACCATAGTATTGAGCAAAAGAATCCACGGACAAAAAGAATACCTACGGTATTCAAGTTCAAAAACAGGCAAAACTCAACTAGACTGTTTAGCAGTGCATACATAAGTAGTAAAAACAGAAAAGCAAGGGAGGGATTTCCATAAGAGTCAGAACATTGGTTATCTCTAGCAGGGAGGGGTGTGTGACCAAGAGGGGCATCCAGGGGGCTTATGGGTGGCTGACAGTGTTCTCTTTTTTGACCTGGGTGTTTCTTTATAGTTGTCTGTTAAACCATATATATGTTTTATGTGCTTTTCTGTATGTGTATATAATTCACAATGAAAAAAGAAAAAAGTTTAAAATGTTAAAAAAAAAAAAAAAAGAAATAGAAAAGGAAAAAGAAAGAAAGCAGAAAAATCCCTCTGACGGTTGGTATAGAGAGTGAATTGGATCATTTGGGACCAGGAGCGGGGATTCTCACCTTCTTGGACGAGGGAAGAGTGGAGGGAAAACTGCAGAAGGAGAAGCATAGATTCAGTCCCGATGTTAGAAAGGGTCGTTACGTTAGGGATAGAGGCAGGAGGACAAGGACAGATTTGGGGAGCCAGGGAGAAGAGGGTGATGGGAGTGGATAGGGACATGGAGTTAATGTGGCTGGTTTAGACCCAGGAATACATTGTATGCACTGTCACTAGTTGTTGAGTGAATATGAGTTCGTGAACCCAAAAAAGGCAAGGAAGAGAGGGCCTGAAACTCCTATTGTGACCCCTCTTCTTTTCCTCACCCCAGGGGATGCTCTCCCTGGTTCTGAATTGCATTGACCGCCTAAACGTCTACACCACTGCTGCCCACTTTGCCGAATTTGCAGGGGAGGAGGCGGCTGAGTCCTGGAAAGAGATTGTGAACCTGCTGTATGAACTCTTGGGTAAGAAGCCCCAGTCCTAACTCCCCCAGAGCACCTCAGATCCCCAGTCCTGTTGGGTCTGATCCACCTCTCCACCCTCAGCTTCTCTAATCCGTGGCAACCGTACCAACTGTGCCCTCTTCTCCACCAACTTGGACTGGCTGGTCAGCAAGCTGGATCGGCTGGAGGCCTCATCTGGTAGGAGAACCCAGGGAGATTGGGGCAGGGACTCAGGGGAGGGAGAGCCACAGCTATCTCACCTCTCGCCCTGGTACGTGCTCAGGGATCCTGGAGGTGTTGTACTGTGTCCTGATTGAGAGTCCTGAGGTCCTGAACATCATCCAAGAGAACCACATCAAGTCCATCATCTCCCTCTTGGACAAGCATGGGAGGAACCATAAGGTTGGCCCCTCATCCCTGACATTTTAACCTGAACTCTGAATTCTGACCTCTCCCTATGGCCCCAGAACTCCTCTCACTCCCTTCCTCCATCTCATCTCTAACTCGGACTCCTCTCCCAAGAGCTTCCATCTCAACACAAGGGTCTCAAACTCATGGCCTTTGAATTGATCCAGGGCCACTGCTGTGTTTTGTTAGGTCTTTGGAGTGTTTTTAAATGTCCCATTTTATTGCCTTTAGGTGGGCTGCATATACACTCTCCAGTTGGTCACAGGTCCTACCAGTTCCTATTGCATTGTTTCTAACCACTTCATGCAGTTACGTTATCCATCTGACCCCTAAAACTCATACTAAGACACAGGTTTGCGACCCCTGATGATCTAAAATTTCATCTTGATCCTTGTGGTCTCTCATGTAACTTTTCCTCTTCCCTCTGACCTCCTACCTTGTCACCCCCATCTCTCCTTTCTTATATCACTGATGCCTTATCCCAACCCGTATGGCCCCTCAGCCTCTCACCTGACCTTTCTCTTTGACTGTCTTCTGTGATCCCCGAACTCCCACTTTCACCACCTCTTCTCAGTCAGTCTCCAGATCCCATCCTGACACATCTTCCTTTCCTCTGGCTTCCCACCCTGGTCCTTCCATGCACCCTCACACCCTGACCTCTGGCCTTGACCTCCAGGTCCTGGATGTGCTGTGTTCCCTGTGTGTCTGCAATGGTGTGGCCGTGCGTTCCAACCAAGATCTCATTACTGAGAACTTGCTCCCTGGCCGAGAGCTTCTGCTGCAGACAAACCTCATCAACTATGTCACCAGGTCTGGCCCCTGGCCCCTAACCCCAGCCTGACGTCAGCCCAACCCCAGGTTAACTCAGAACCTTTCAACTCTCTCCCTGACTCAGACTCCACACCTACGTGGATGTCCTTCTGTTGTCTCCTACTCCAGGACTTAATACCTCATCTTCACAGATGTCCATTCCCATTCCAGTTCATCCCTGGCTCCCCACTCATTGCCTTTCTCCTCTTTTCCTCTCTCCCTGGCACCATCTCTGCCTCTGTTTCTCCCTCTTTCTTTCTCTCTGTTTCTGTATTTTTCTCTTTTTAACTTTGTCTGTTTCTCTCTCTCTTTCTGTTTATCTTTCTTTGCCTGTTTCTACCGCTTCATCTCTTTCTCCCTGTCTGTCTCTGTTCTATCTCTCTCCTCTCTGTCTTTCGGTGTCTCTGCCTTTCTCTGTACGTGCTCTTTTTCTCTGTCACTCTCTCTCTCTCCATGTCTCCGTCTCTCTGTTTTTACTGGGTGTCTTTCTTTCTCTCTGTCTGTTTCTCTCCCTCCCCACCCCACCAGTCTGGCTGTCCTCTCCATCTCTCCCTCTCTTGTCTTTCCTGCAGCATCCGCCCCAACATCTTTGTGGGCCGAGCAGAGGGTTCCACACAGTATGGCAAATGGTACTTTGAAGTGATGGTGGATGAGGTGGTTCCATTCCTGACAGCTTATCCCACCCACCTGCGGGTGGGCTGGGCCCTCACCGAGGGCTACAGCCCCTACCCCGGGGGAGGTGAAGGCTGGGGCGGCAATGGAGTCGGCGACGACCTCTATTCCTACGGCTTTGATGGCCTGCATCTCTGGACAGGTATCTAGACCCTGACCTCTGGTCTGTGACCCACAGATTTCAGGGGACTCTCACCCATGACCATTGACCCCAGAGTTACCAAGACTTAGACTAAACCCCTCGGGGTTCTCAGGATCCTGACCCCCCAAAAGAGGCTGATTTTTTACTCCTTTCTCCTCATTTCCCAAGACCCTAACCCTAGAGCTTCTGGAATCTTGGCTCTGACTTGTTTCCTCATAGCCTCCGGAACTCTGATCTCAGAGGCGATATGACCTTTGATCCTAGAGATCCCTGAAAACTGCCCCAGATTATCATGACCTCTGATCTTTGACTTCTAACCTCAGAGATTCCGGAACCCCAACTCCAGGAGGACTTTAATTTCTGACCCCGCAGCTCTCAGGATCCTAGCTCAGGGGAATCCTGATCTCTGTCCCTAATCTCAAAGCTATAGGATCCTCCATGGGAACACCTGGTCTTGAAGTTTCCAAGATCTGGTCCCCATAGGATCCTTCAACATCTGCCCTTTGTCTCTTGAGATCATTGGTTCCTTAAGACCTCTGATCCCTCCCTGGTGATCCTGGTGCAGGACATGTGGCACGCCTGGTGACTTCTCCGGGACAGCACCTCCTGGCTCCTGACGATGTGGTCAGCTGCTGCCTGGACCTCAGTGTGCCATCCATCTCCTTCCGCATCAATGGGTGTCCTGTGCAGGGTGTCTTTGAGGCCTTCAACCTTGATGGGCTCTTCTTCCCTGTTGTCAGCTTTTCAGCTGGTGTCAAGTGAGGACTTGCCCCTGCCCTACTGCCAACCCCAACTCCTGGGACTGACCTGAGACAGCTTCCCTGATCACCCCATGACCTCTTATGAGTTCTTACCCTCAGGACTGCCTGGTGGCTAGAACCCCTACATGAATGTCCCAGTGATCTCCACATGATTCCAAACCCTTCCAATAACCTCAGATTATCTCCAACCCCATGTCCTTCCAATAACCTTCAAGTAACCCCAGAACTTCACATTGACCTTCTAATGACCCCAGACTTTCCCAGTGACCTCCCAAATATCCCAGACTCTTCCAATGACTCCATGCTATTCCAGTGACCTCCAAATGATTCCCAAATCTGACAAGGATCTTATAATAACCCAAGACCCTCCCAGTGCCTTCCAGTGCCTTCCCAATGACCCTGGACTCTCCAATGACCCTTCAATGACCCAGACTCTCCCAATAACTCCATGCTCTTCCCATAACCTCTCAATGACTGCAGCATCTCCCAATGACCTTTCAATAGCCCCAGACTCTCCCAGTGACCACCCCAATGCCCCCAGTTATTTTTAAAAACCTATCAATGACCCAGTCCTTTCCTAATGACCCCAAGATCTCTGAATGGCTTCTCAATCACCATTCAGTGGCAATTATGGTTATCTCATAATTATACCAGACTCTCGGTACTTCCAAATAACTTTCTTCGTTGTTTCCCAAAAAACTTTCAATATACTCAAATACTCTGTTGACTCAAATTCTTCTTCAGAGGACCTTCCCATGACTTTGCAATAATCTTAACCCTTCTCTAGGAATTCCTAACCCTCCCACCCCAACTCCCCAACAACCCCACACTTTCCATTTCAATCCTCCAGGGACTGTCATTGCCCTCAGACGTTCCCTTAGGGTATTCTTTTGACCCTAGACTTTTCTTTCTGACTCCTAAGTGACCCCCATGACCCTATGACTGCCCGTTCACCTCAGGTTTCTCCAGGACTTTCCATCGACCCCAGGATTGTTCCCTTATCCCCAGTGATACAGACTGTCCCCTACAACCTCCCCTTCCCCTAGTGATTCCTGATCCTCTCCCAGGGTGCGGTTCCTCCTTGGTGGCCGCCATGGTGAATTCAAGTTCCTCCCCCCGCCTGGATATGCCCCATGTCATGAGGCTGTGCTCCCACGAGAACGACTCCGTCTTGAGCCTATCAAGGAGTATCGGCGGGAGGGACCTCGGGGTCCCCACCTGGTGGGCCCCAGCCGCTGCCTCTCACACACTGACTTTGTGCCCTGCCCTGTGGACACCATCCAGGTACTGCCTGCCCTGTAAAGGTTTCCTGGTGAGGCAGGCTTTCTTAGGGGTCAAGAGGTGGGGAGCTGAGATGGAAGCTGAGAACCTTGTCATTTAACAGATGAGGAAATTGAGGCACAGAGAGGCAAAGGACTCTCCCAAGCCTTCATATGCAGAATCTGAATTTCAGGGAGTCCTCATTCTAGCCACATAAAAAAGGGACTATTACTGGCCCCAGTTTACAGCTGAGGAAAGCAAAGTTCAGACAGGTTTTGCAATCTGTGCAAATCACAGCAGATGGGAACCCAGGCTGTCTGATTCCAAAGCCCATGATCTTATCCACCACACTATGAACACATTTCTTGAGTATCTCTTCTATACCAGGCTCCTCATATCCCACTTTCCCTCCAAGCATGACCCCATAGGAGGGAATAAAATTTTGTGTTTAAGATCCTGACGGTAAGGGTTTGATTTTCAACTGTGTAATCCTGGGCACGTGACTTCACCTCTCTGCGTCAGTTTCCTCATCTGTGAAAAGGGGATAATAATAGGACCTACCTCACAGTGTTATTGTGAAGATTAGGGGAATTAATATGTGCAAAGTGTTTAGCACAGTCCTGGGCAAATAGTAAGCATTCAATACAGTTACTTATTATTATTTTAATGACTAATATTATCTCAGGGTGACCTTGCCATCACCCGGCCCCAGGCCAGAGCCCTGGGCCTCTTCCTGGACATCTCCTTCCCAATGACTCCCCCACCCCCAGCCTGTTAGCCTCATTGCCTATCCACTTGACCTTCTGGACATCCCTCCCATGCCCTCCTCTCCTTTCCACCATCCCTGGTCCAGGTCATCATTATCTTCTGCCTGCAGAACTCTTAACACATAAATATTTATTAGGCACCTACTGTGTGCCAGGCATTAGTGGTGCAGTGGTTAAGAGCTTGGCTGCTAACCAAAAGGTCGGCAGTTTGAATCCACCAGCCACTCCTTGGAAACCCTATGGGGCAGTTCTACTCTATCCTGTAGGGTCACTATGAGTTGGAATCGACTCAATGGCAATGGGTCAGGTGTTTTGATTGTTTGTTTATGTAACATTTAGTAATTTATATAAATGATTTCATGGAATTCTAATGAGGCAAGTATTACGAGTTAAGTATGGCTATGGTTGTCATTATACAGCAGAGGGAAGGGACTTGTTCATTCCCCAAACATTTCTTGAGCATCCCCTCTAGGCCTCGCCCTGGGCTGGGTGGGGCTGGGGACATGGTGGGGACTGAGGTAGCTTTAGGTCCTGCCCTCACAGAGCTCCCAGTCCAGCGGGGAAGACAGACTCGGCCCCAGATAATTCCTCAATTCTGGCAATGCTAAGTCCTTGTTCAGCTGGGCAGCAGCAGGACTGTGGAATATCAGGAAAGGTCAAAAGGGGGATCCTGGGACAACCTGTCCAGACTTGCACATGTTCTTGGGAGGGGGTCACAGGGCCAGGGTAGGGGGATCTCTGGGATCTCATGAATGTCCCCCTGCCCCCAGATTGTCCTGCCTCCCCATCTGGAACGCATTCGGGAGAAGCTGGCAGAGAACATCCATGAACTCTGGGCGCTGACCCGCATCGAGCAGGGCTGGACCTATGGCCTGGTGAGGGGCTGCCTACAGCATGAGGGACTCAGGCTAGACTCAGAAAGTGGGAAGCGTGAAAATGGCTCACCAGTGGGGAGGGGTGGGGAAGGAACTTGAGGACATCGGGGGTTCCTTGGGTTGGGGTGGAGGTCAGGGGTCATAATCTGCGAGTACTGGGGGAGGGGGAACCCGTGGAGTTGACTCTGGGGTTTCTCCAGGTTCGGGATGACAATAAGAGGCTGCACCCGTGTCTCGTGGATTTCCACAGCCTCCCGGAGCCCGAGAGGAATTACAACCTGCAGATGTCGGGAGAGACACTCAAGTAAGGGGAGCCCAGGGGAGCAGGAGGTGGGGCCTGACTGCTGGGGCAGGGGCAGGGAGACAGGGAGTGTAAGACAGAGAGTGAGAGACAGGGAGAGAGAGCGACGGAGCGTGAGAGAGACAGAATGAGAGAGAGTGAGAGAGACAGTAAGAGAGAGACAGGGATTACGAGGTTGAAACAGAGGTGAGAGAGACAGAGGCAGAAAGAGAGTCAGGAAGGGAAAGGCAGAGTGGAAAGAGAGACACTGAGAAAGGGGCAGATAGAAGAAGACGGACATGGTCACAGAGAGACAGAGACAAAGAAACAGGGGATGACAGACCTCAGAGAGTCAGAGACCAAGACGGAGGGAGTGGGGACAGAGACACCCAGAGAGCCAGGGCAAGAGATGCAAAGAGAGCCAGGGCCCCAGAGACAGAGATGATGATGGCTGTGGGGAGCAGTGGGGCCCAGGGAGGGGATGAGGAGCCGGGGGCAGGGGGCTCTGTGGGTATGACCCTGCCCTCCTGCCCCAGGACCCTGCTGGCGCTGGGCTGCCACGTGGGCATGGCGGACGAGAAGGCAGAAGACAACCTGAAAAAGACAAAACTCCCCAAGACGTGAGTGTGGGTGGCCTGGTCCCATCTAGGGAATCGTGGGGGCTGGGGATGCTGCGGGGAGGGCTGCGGAGGTCGAGGGGTCTTGTGGGGAGGCTGAGGTCAGAGACAAAGGGGCCAGAGCTTAGGGTGAAGGTCACAGGGTCAGGGATCTGAGGTCAGAGGTGAGTGTCCTGGGAAGGGGTCAGGACTGAGGAGTTAGGAGTCCCAGGGAGAGTGGGGGTGAGTCTGGGGTTCAGGGTCAGGGTCAGCCACGGAGTCATGGAAAATGAGAAAGCGAGATCATAGCTCTAAGTCAGAGGCAAAGGGTCAATGGTAAGAGATGAGAATTTAGACGTTGCTGGAGTTGTAAGTAAAGGATCCTAAAATTAGAGGTGAGAGATCAGAAGTCCTGGGGATAGAGGCGGGGATTCAGAAGTCAAGGACTCCAAAGCCAGATCAGAAGCCCTGGGGATAGAGGCTGGGATTCAGAAGTCAAGGACTCCAAAGCCAGATCAGAAGCCCTGGGGATAGAGGCTGGGATTCAGAAGTCAAGGACTCCAAAGCCAGATCAGAAGCCCTGGGGATAGAGGCTGGGATGCAGAAGTCAAGGACTCCAAAGCCAGGACATAAGGCCCATAGAGTCCTGAGGTCAGAGGTTAAGAAACCTCAGAGTTAGAGGTGAGGGGTCAGACAGTTCCAAGGTCAGAGATAAGGCTCTCAAAATCAAGATGAGGGGGTCACAGAGGCCAGAGGTCAGTGACGTCACAGCCCTACTAGGGTCATAGGATCCTGTCAGAGGTTAGAAATTCCAAAGCTTACTCCAGAGAGTCACAGAATGCTGACACCAGAGACCAAAAACCAAACCCATTGCCGTCGAGTCAATTCCAACTCATAGCAACCCTATAGAACAGAGTAGAACTGCCCCATAGGGTTTCCAAGAAGTGGCTGGTGGACTCGAACTGCCGACCTTTTGGTTAGCAGCCAAATGCTTAACCATTACGCCACCAGGGCTCCAGGATATCAGAGACCAGGGGTCAGAAAATCCAAAGCCCAGGGCTAAGGATCATAGGATCCTGGGATCAAGGACCAGAAAGCAGGGACTCCAGAGCAATGGACTGTGAGGCCGTGGAGGTGAGGGTGTAAGCCCACCCAACCCCACCACGCCCGCAGGTATATGATGAGCAACGGGTACAAGCCTGCTCCTCTAGACCTGAGCCACGTGCGGCTGACGCCAGCGCAGACAACGCTGGTGGATCGCTTGGCGGAGAACGGGCACAACGTGTGGGCGCGAGACCGCGTGGCGCAGGGCTGGAGCTACAGCGCTGTGCAGGACATCCCCTCGCGCCGAAACCCTCGCCTGGTGCCCTACCGCCTGCTGGACGAGGCCACCAAGCGCAGCAACCGGGACAGCCTATGCCAGGCCGTGCGTACCCTGCTGGGCTACGGCTACAACATCGAGCCGCCTGACCAGGAGCCCAGTGAGCACTGACCCCCGACCCCTGACCCTACTCAGACCCTTCACCCCAACCCTGACCTGACCCCTGACCCTACTCAGACCCTTGACCTCAACCCTGACCTGACCCCTGACCCTACACAGACCCTTGACCTCAACCCTGATCTGACCCCTGACCCTACTCAGACCCTTAACCCCAACCCTGACCTGACCCCTGACCCTACTCAGACCCTTGACCCCAACCCTGACCTGACCCCTGACCCTACACAGACCCTTGACCTCAGCCCTGACCTGACCCCTGACCCTACGCAGCCCCTGACTGGGCTGTGGCTACAACGTTGTGTCACCTGCACAGGAGCCCAGAGAGAGCTGATTCCTGGCCTCTAACCCTGTTCCTACTCTGACTCTGACGCTAACCCAGACCTCTGACCCTAACCCTGACCCCTGACATCCTTGACTGGTCTACGCTAAAACATCAGAAAGTCAGTGAAAGCTAACCACCCCCCAACTCTGGCCATTATCCGATCCCGAACCTGACCCACTGACTCAGCCCTGACTGGGCTGCAGCTGCATCGAGCCATTCTGAACCCCAGCCCCTGACCCAGTCCCCTCACCCCTAGCTTTGACCCCCTCACCCCTAACCTCTGACTGAGCTATAGCTATACCATGGAGCAACCCAACCAGGGGCTCAGAGGGCCTCTAACTCCCAACCCCTAACCCAACCCCTGACCTAGTTATAACCCCCAATCCTAGCCTCAGGTCCTAACCTGACTCTGGTCCTCAATCCTCAATCCTTGGCCCCAACTTCAATTTCTATCTCTGCCCTGCTCCTGACTTTTACCCCTCAATCCTGCTCCCAACCTTGGATTCCCAACATCAACCCTAATCGTGACCCTTAACCCCAGGCCATGACCCTGACCAGTTCACTGCCTCCATTTCTCCCTCTGCATCACTGGCCGTGTCTCCTCTCTGAGAGCTGACTGAGAGAGGGAAGTGGGGAGTCTCACTCACCAGGTCCTGCCAACCTCTCTCTGACTCCTCTGTGATTCCCCATTTCTTCTCTAATACTAAGAAACTGTCCCTCTTCCCCCAGTCTGCCAAGACCCTTACCTTCTCTGGTCCCTCCCACCAACCTCCTGATGCCTTGGGGCCCAGTCCCCACCAGCCTCTCTGACTCTGCCTGGCCCATCTGCAGGTCAGGTGGAGAGCCAGTCTCGGTGGGACCGAGTGCGTATCTTCCGGGCAGAGCGATCCTATGCAGTGCAGAGTGGCCGCTGGTACTTCGAGTTCGAGGCAGTCACCACGGGCGAGATGCGAGTGGGCTGGGCCAGGCCTGAGCTGCGACCTGACATAGAGCTGGGAGCTGATGAGCTGGCTTATGTCTTCAATGGGCACCGCGTGGGTACCTCCCTGGGCTCCACTCTGCCAGGCCCTGGCTCCCTCCTACAGCTCATACGTCCTAGCCTTGCCTGTAGCTGGGCCTCATTCTGGCCACCTAGACCCGCATCCGCATCTACTTTACCATGTATTTATTTTTTGGAAGTAGGAGCATGATCTTTTTTTTTTTTTTT